AATGTCTTCTGCAAACGCTGCGTTCAAGGCGATTGGCAAAGGCCTGAAGCTAAACACCCGCTTATTACGGATTGTTTTGTTTGCGACGACGAATTCTGTAACCCTAGTGACTGGCTATCTAAACATTGCATATTTTGATATGTTACGAACATGTGTCAATTGCACCCTTTAAGGTGGCTCCGTAGGGTAATCATTTATGGCGTTGCGCGCGCAAATGTTATGTTAGTTGAATTCTGTCTTTTGCATTCGTTTTACACTCAGTCCTCTCAAATTTATTACAGGTAATATGCTGCTAAAATTTTGGGTTTTAGTCTTGAATTATAAATGCCCAAACAAATGTGTTTTTTACTTTTTTATGGCTCTATTATTTGTGATTTTCTTGAATTTCCTTCGGCGAAATCTTCCAAAATTTTAACAGCTCATCGCATCCTGTGGGATACGAATTTTGTGTACAAAAAAGTAGGGTTTGTACAGTCAGTTTTATCGATTTTTTTTACCGCTGCGAAGAAACTTGTCGTATAGATTTCCCTGAAAAAAACGAGCTCCGACTAAAGTAAAATAATTATTACCAGACGCCTACCAAATTATACGGAATTTCACCGAAAGAAACGCGAGAAAATTCACTGTCAGTTTTGCTTTTTGTGTTCATGTTGACTTTACGGCTTAAAACAGTTTCCAGCACTTTACAAGACTTAGATTTTGATAGGTCATTATAACCACTCTTTATCACTTGATGCTACAATCATGATATCAAAAAGCTGCCCAATCATAGCTGACAACGTTGTAATCATTTTCTTGACACAAAAGGTTACCATGGCAACAGTATAACCTGCTAAAAATACCCTTATTTAGAGCTTTAAGGACTTAGAATTCTAAAACGGCATGGTGAAATTGTTTACATTATCAAATTTTGATGAGCAGGATAAAATGAAACTTTTGGCAAGGTTTTAAAAATTCTGTTGATGGGGTTCAGAGCCGTCTTAAAGTTTTGAAAATTTAAGATGGCTCCAATACCTATGTACAGATTTTTTAAACTTTGCCAAAAGAAGTGTAAGCTTTTCTATAGGTCAGTATGATTTTGTCAAAAGTAGAAGCTACTGATTAACGTTGTCACATTCGAAAGTGACAAGAAAACAATGGCTCTGGGTGCGAGATGTTTGCGACTGTTCAATAAGCGTGAAATTTCTTGACTTTCAACTCAAATTTCAGTCAACGTAAAAGCATCGTTCTATTGCTTGTAAATTGTAGGTTTTCATCCCTTTTGGTCATAAATAGGGTATATTTTGTGTACTCTAGTCTTGAGCCTGGTATGTTTTTTAGAAGAAGCTTCATTCTCAGATAATAAAAAAGGTAGGAAAAATCGTAGATTTTGGTCATAAATAGGGTTAGGGCTTTGCGAAGCGGGCCGCACACTCCCATCCAATTATTCTGGGAATACCCCCCGGTTAAGAGTATCTAATTATTGTAGTTTGCTAAACTTCATCAATTTTATATTGTTATGTTTATTCTGGGTACAATCGATTCTTTGTTTTTTATCTTTACCTCATCTAGCAAGTAGGGCCCAAGAAGCTCCCGATACCGATCTTCCAAGCTCAGTGACATATCTGAAACACAGTAACCTAGGCTCGCGATAGGAGCATTCAGTGATAAAATATAAGCCTGCGTGCAGGTCATAAATGAGATAGAAAAAAATCGCAGATTTTGGTCTCATGTAGGGTCAGGGTTTGGGAAGCGGGCTACACACTCCTATCCATTTTTGTCTGGGAGTACCTTCCCGGGTACGCAGTATCCAGTTATTATACGTTTGCTAAATTCTACCTGTCAACTATTTCCTTTCTCAGTCAGCGTCTGAACGCAGGCTAGTATTAATATATTTATGCTAGGATTTGTATTCCTATCGTGTAATCAGTTATTAACTCTATTGGTAACGACTAACTTGTATCAGTAAAATGCTTTACATTAAGTTGCTAATTTCGAGTCTCTGTTAAAGAAGAACAAGGGAGATTTTTTTTGAGGGGTAATTGATGAACTCTTCTCCCACTATCTATAATCTAATGGTCAATTCCTATGTCTGCAGAAAACGCTGCGTTGATGGCAGTATTGGCCAAGGCCCGAAAAACACCCTCTCTTTACGCCGGGATAGTTTTGTTTGCGCCGACGAGTTCTGTGATCCGATTGAAACACTCTCATGCAAAGTTTTACGGACACTAGTTAGACTACGAGTAGTCACTCTTTCGCTTAGTCCGTCGTGCGTGAAGAGAAAGGAAACGTCGAGGAAAAAATGGCCGTGCCAAATGCTGGCAGCGAGAAGCCAGGATTTCGCGAGGCAATTTTTACCTCATGGTATGACGTAAGTCATGGTATGGGGTTTAGGGTCNCATTGCATTGCATTGCATTGCATTGCATTGCACTGCTCTGCACTGCACTGCACTACACTGCATTTTATTTTATTTTATTTTATTTTATTTTATTTTATTTTATTTTATTTTATTTTATTTTATTTTTATTTTATTTTTTTTGGATCTTTTGTTTTAGTGGAAAAGCAGAGAGTTGCCCCAAAAATAGAAGTGTGAAAATCACAGAGCATCCTTCGGACATATTCAATAGTAAAAAACTTTCGCGTGATTAATTGAAATAGCATAACGATATCATTTGAATCGGAAAGCCTATGTTTATATAGAACGACGAATGATCGCGATGAAATTGTCTTTTTTTTTTTTTTTTTTTTGCTCTTTTTTGGTAGTATGTCAAATTCTCATACAGTGAAACCTCGCCATATGGCACCCCTCTCAGTACAAACTCTTTATTACGGAGACTTTATATGTTAAATTCTAAAAGGTCTCTGAAGAGTGTCTTAGCCGAGACAAAACGCCGCGTCAGACTTGCCGCGAACAATTACTTGGTCAGTCAGAGCTATATTTTTTTCTTAGTTTAAGAACTCTTTTGATACATGGTCACTCCCTGTCATGTAAACTCAATTTTGTAGCACAAATGTGGTCATGTTGACGGGGTTGTACTGTAATTGAAGATGTTCTATTGATTTTTGGTTTTAACCTACCTTCTTTGCAAGTGATAGCGGCAGTGGTCACGCCGCTCGCTAAAATGATTTTATCTTGGAACTTTTTAAGCCTGAATTTCAAATGATCCGGTTTAGCTGGTTTGGCAGGCGCTGAACCAATCCTGAAGACTGGTGGTAAAGTTTTACGAGGTGGTTCTCCTTTGCTGGTATTACTGTTTTTATCCAGATTGGGAGAGCCCGCCTTAGATTGGTTTCCAGTGCTTTGCTTCCAAGGAGGTGCTGATTTCAATAAAGATTTCTGTTCAAATTTAGCCTTCGCTGATGCCACGGACATAACCTTTTCTTCTGAGCGTTGTCCGCCATCTTGACATGGTGAGGAGCCTACATGTCCCTTCGATGGCGGTGTTTGTTTTTGCTCAAATTTATTTCTAAACAAAGCCACAGATGACAGACCTGTATTGGAAGAAGCAGCGCCATTTTGACCCGAGGATGGACTCAAAGGAGCCTTTGGAGGTGGTGTTCTTTTCAAGGTACGCTTGACATGTTGGAGGTCATTCAAGGACAGCTCCATACCTTTGTGTGAACAGAGAGAGATATTCAGTACCGTAGTGTTCAAGCCATTAACCTCTTTTGAATAACATCATTAAAATCGGCGAGGAAAATTAGGAAACAGGATTACCTGCGTAACATTATTTTCAAAATTCAGTTCAGCTTGGATACTCAGCTGAATTTCAAAGAAGTCCTTAATATTGATGGTCAATTATAATTTTTTTGCAGGTTTCGAAAGCGCGTAACACTGATTAAAGATTTTACCCGTATTTTACCTCGGCCGGTTGCCCATTCGTCTCAACAACGGTTTATTATTTATTATTCAGTAGCTTAATTATTCCAAGCTGAAAGGCAAGACACTTGGCATTGAATACGTAAAAACAGTTTTCACGACTGAGTAGTCAGCCGCTTTATGGTATTATTCGGTTTAGTATTGTGTCTCTCGACAATTAAGCCAAATTTGCATTTTAGAGTCTCTACAATATCCGGTTCTAGATCGATTGGTGACAGTATTTCTGTTTGTCGCTTTTGTCTAAACCTTAAAACAGACTGACTAGAGACAAACTTCCGAAAGTCCATTAGAACATACCGGCACTCATATAAAGGCTTCACAACGTGAATTGGCGACGGTTTCCGAAACCGTTTTCGCTTTACATAAAGGGTTTTTTAAATTCTGAGGGAAGTTTTGTAAATAATCATGAACCAAGCATCGACCATCAGCAGTTTGTTGATGATCAATCTCCAATCGAAGAATAATGCTCAAGCGAACTCGCTCAACGTAATAGACACCTTGCTGATTCCCAATGAAACTGGAGACACTGTACTTAAGTGAAATTTGATGCCCGCTTAAACCGCGGTTAGTTTTGAAGGTGAACTTGTCTTTCTTGCGTGATGGGAGCCAAATCCCCACTATTTCTACCTTCCTGACTAGCGCCGCGCTTACCTTGACTTAAACGAGATTCCTGCACGTTTAAGATAGAGATTTAAAATAAACTCTCACATTCAATTGTCCAGATAACATCAGTGTTCTACAACGAGTCTTGATCAGGCGGAAGAAAGAACGAAATCAAAATAACATCACCAGCATTGGGTTGAAACGTGAGTGACATACCTGCGAGACGGAGGGGTACAGTAGAAGCACTGCGGGAAGGAGTGGGGGCTGGTGGGGGTTAGGGTCTAGTAATTTGCAGCTTGTGGTTGCGAAATCCCCTTTTCCCCCCCGCCCCCCCGGATGGTAAAAAGCTACCGAGATTGACGCCTGCATTCATCACTATATGGCTTTTGTTTAAAGTTTTAATGACAGCCTAAACATTGTAAAATATAAGCAGGTAAAAGAACTACTTAGCCCTGTACCAAGCCTCGCGCGGTCATTAACGAGAGCGTGACACGAAAATCACATGATGTTCTCGTACGTGACCTGTTGTCATTGATCTTGCGCCATCTTGTAATATAGTGTTATATTCGTCCAACAGCCGGTAACCGCGTAAGGACGGGATAAGTCAGTTCGTGTCTCATTTATTTACTCTTTAAATCTGCGCTGTAACACTGGAGCGAGGCAAATAATCAAGTGATGGCGATGGGGAAATTGTTCAGTTTATTATTACCTTGTTGCGTGAAGGTAAGACTTATTTTAACCGATCTCCACTCGCATACGATTAACATGTATAAACCTATTTTACACTGAGAATCACGAATGGAACTCTCCGTATTTTGTGTAGCTAATTTCGGCAATCTTCGTTTGAGATCTCTGCATATCTGTTCAAAGAATATTTCATTATGATTCTGGTTCTCTTCGCCGCTGGCTCTCGCCTTTCAGCGACGAACATTTATTAGGTTAGAATTATAATTCTTGTCTTGGATGAAACGATTTAAGACCATTTAATAATTTGTTTAAAACGCAAAACGATGTAGCGAGAATCGGTGTAACGAATTCTTACGGTTGTACCGTGTAACCTTACAATTATTGCATATTGAGAGCCACTGTCAGCTCGTCAGTGCTTTTTAAGCAAACCAGAACACTACTGCGGCTAGCAGTGTGCTAATCAAAATCTGTTCTGTATTCAAGGTAATTGGAGTGCTATTTAGGTTAACAAGAGTGCTATTTAGGCTAACAAAACAAAAAAAAAAACTCTTGTTTAATAATCCTCTAGCACGCCGATTCCCTTGACGCTGTTCCCTGTTATGTCGTTACGCGTTTGTCAAACAAAATCTTTAGTAGTATCTCCATATATCCCTTGGCAACGTCACGCAATACCCATGACCGTTCCTTGAGTTTAATCTCAGCACGAGCCATCCTCGAGCCCAGTCAGATTCAAGTCACGAGAATCAATTCGTGCAAACGTTGGTTTTTCTTGTGTTTTTATTTTTTCATTGTTTTTTTAAGTTATTTTATTATTATTTTTAAATGTATTTTTTTTTTTGCTGCAGTTTACGTAATTTTGACTTGTATCGCTTACCATTACGTGACTGTTTACTTTTAATCGAATACCTTATTTAGTTACCAGATCCTCGCAGTTTCCGGCTGGGCTATTGTTAAAACTTGAAGACAGATCAAAAATTTCTCACAATCAATTTTAAAATTCTACTCGTATGAAGTTCAAGAAGTTGCAAGTTTACCAAACAAGTTTAAAAAACCTTGTTCCTCCACTCAACTGTTCTTCAAATTAATAAAGTCACTGATATCTTGTTCAATACACAGAGCATTATGGGCGAGTAATTTCAAAGTCGGCAGAGTGGTTGTTTAAGGCAAAACAAAAACCGATCACGCCATCATCATTATTATCAACTTGGCCTCGTGAAAAAGTCGTGATACTTATTTGCACGCCGCACAAAACAGCTTACGACAACTGCTTGACTGAAAGGGTCTGGCTCCAACTTCGCCGTAGGACTGTTAACAACGTGCATATCTACCGGCGTGTAATGTTGAAAAAAATTGAAAATTACTTTGTTTAGTTAAAGAAGCAAAAAAAAAAAAAAGGTGATGCTGCCTCGAACTTGCCTTGAAGTCTCCTCGTGTTTCGAGGTAGGATGTTCTTATTATTCATTGAGCTAAAAGATTGACTTCCCGTGGGTAGATATTGCCGAGTAAAAATGTTTTGTTTTTTGTTGTTGTTGTTTTTTGTTTTTTGTTTTTTTTTTTTGAAAAAAGACCAGCGAAATGCAAAACATTTGATGAGAATGCTTCGTTTTTTTGGCAACTAGAAATTGCGTAAAAGAACATTTCCGTCCTTCCGTATAGCCTGCGAACAGGCTCCCGGTGAGCCCGAACGAAGCGCCGAAATTTTTTCCGTCCTCGCCGGGAGCCTGTTCGCAGGCTACCTTCCGTAGTGTTCGCCGAGTCTGGTGAAGTAGTTCGCTTTAATAGATCGATATCACTAACAAGTTGACCTCCCGCGGTTAGATATTGCCAAGTACACTCTTTTTTATCTAAGGACCTTTTTTATAAGAACGTTGAGGCTGAGATTAACCAAAATTTTAAGAACGCACTAAGAACATTCCTCAAGTTGAGAGTCGATTAAGAACGTTATATTTTGCTTACTGTATCTGTATGTATTAAATGACAAGCATAAAATAAAGGTAACAAAAAATTGTAAAATTAACCCAAAAACTTTATGGGCATGTTTTGTATAACATTAACAATGTTTTTCTTGTTGCATGACACACATCTCGGTTTGTAAAGTAATCAGCAGTTCTTATCTATAACTGTTCCAAAATAACTTTCACACCATCAAAGTCATCAGGTGATACAAAGTCTGAAGTATTATCAAGGTAGTTGACCTTGTATGCCATTTAAATTTAAGAACATCCTAAGAGCGTTTCAGCCTCAAATCGCAAAAAAATGTATGAACATTCTGCCTCAGCTCCAAAATTAGACGTTCCTATATATAAAAAAAAACGTATAAAATGTCTTTGAACAAAACAAAAGCAGCGAATTGCTTGCGGTTTAAAGCCTAAAAGCTCTGGAGAGCCTCAATACCCAGCCTGAGTTAGCTTAGGAAGAAAAGTGTAGCACCGTCATCTATAGTTCATGTGTGAAAACTAAAGGCATCCCGCGCAAGAAAAATCTTTAGGAGATCGATGCCCCCTGTATTAGCCTTCTTTACCTGACGTAGATCATTCCCAGGCTCCAAGCTGTAACCGAACGCAACAAGCTAGGAAATCTGCTCTTCTCTCGTTTCTCATTAAAAGCCCTTTGTTCTTATTCGCTGAATCATTTCAGAGAGCTTGGGACTAGCTACCCACCTTGTGGCTACGAAGGAGGCGGAGAAAGCTAACACAAGACAAATAGGCTTGTTTAACTTTTTTTTGCTGTTTACAGGAAGACAAATCAGAGTCAAACCCCACGCAGCGGCTAGTTGGCGGAGATGTCACGCAACCTTCATACTCAGCAGTACCTCAACCCATTCTCGACCCTCAGACAATCCAGTCAAATCCGGAACATTCATTGGAAAAAAGTTCAACAAGCGTGTATTACACTCCCTCCAGCAGCCTTACCGCGTCAACAAATGCTGCCGACAGACCTCACGCTACATAAGTTAAAGAATCAAACGCGATCCCTTGCTAGGGAAACATTTACTTTCAATTCTGTGCAGAAGACTTTTCAAACGTTCCTGGAATTAATTCTAAGACCTGTTGGTTTCCCAGCGCTCAAACCAAGTTGAAAGATTTACTACAGATAAATGACATTCTATTCCATTAGATATGAAAGATATTTTGGAATTTTTTTCTGTGTACCCAGTAGTTTAAAAGCCCTTTGGGTTATGTAGCTTCATTTGGTATATATCCAAACCTGGACGAATTTTGCCGCAGTGTTTGTTTTTTTTTAATTGATGAACCTATACCCAGATTTGGCCGGGGATGATATGGTTGTATCAGGTACAGAGAGGCTTACAATCCAGGGAAGTAGAGGCTTACTGTAACACCTTGACGAATTTAACCAATCACGAATACCATGCATAACGTCAATCAAAAAATGAATTTATATTTTAGTTAGGAATGTCGCAAAATTGCTAGGTCCATTCAGTTTTTCTCACACAGAACAAAAGCTGATGATGTAAATACAGTGTTAAATTCAGAAGAGGAAATAAGAAGTTCACATTCGTTGTTCGCGTTAGGCGAAATACGCAAAATTTAGATGTTTCACGTTTTAGGACATTTACTAAAGGTAGGATCACATGTTGAATTTCAGCCGACTCGGGCTGAAATTTTGTAGAATTCTGTTGCATTTACATGACAAATTTCAGCCCGAGCTGAAATATTCGCCCGCAGCCAAATATGGAAATGACTTCTTGCTCTATTAACAGCAAGATAGGTAGATAGATAATCTTTATTTAAACACGGTTAAAAATTCGTCAGCTAAACCTACTAATAACTAAAAGTAAAAAAAAATAATCAAATAAAAAAATTGCTGCTTTCCACGAAAGCCATGCCTGTACATCTCCCTTGAGTAGGCAATGCGGAATTCAGCTTAAGCTGTCCGATTACGTGGACTTTTAAGCATGTTTGACCCACTAAAATTCGGCCGTCGATAAAACCAGGAACATGGAACATTCTGGAACATCCCGGAACATCGAATAATTATCATAATTACGCGAAAAATATGTAAAATAAAATTTTAAAAAATTAAATCAAACAAAAATAAACTGGTATCAGCTCGGAAAATAGAAACAAAACAAAAACAAAAGAAAGGAAAAAAGAAAGAAAAATGAAAGTGACTGCAATGAGTGAAGGCTAGCAACTAAGAAGACTAATCCATTCCTTCCAGCTGTTCACCATCAGTTTAATCACGTGACTGTTCTTTATTCCCAGATTTCGTTCTTCACAGAAAACTAAGGTGGAGGCGTTCGAACTCATTAATTCAGACCTAAAAGTATGGGTACACGAGTGTGATTCCTTTATTCAATTCATTACGTCAATACAAAGATATGCGTATACACGATTTCTTNCTGGTATCAGCTTGAAATATGAGAAGATATTATTGGGGATAGGGGAGTCGGTAGCAGAGGGGTAGGGAGCGTTGGGTATTCATTCAACTGACCACAATGAGTGCAGGCTCCCCTTCTTTCCCGCCAATTGCGTCACGTCGCTTTTCAGCACTCTGTTTTTCAACACAAACATGGACGATTCTGACGATGAATGCCAGGTAATTCGTTGTGTCTCCTTTCTTGATCCCTGATTTCTTCAACATCTGAGGTTTTTGTCTGTGCATCACACAGTTGCTTGTTAAGTCAGTATCATAGTTTTGTCCCTATTCCATCTTCATGTTGCTATTTATCATCCCCAGTTTTCGCGCCGCTCCACTAGGAACACCGGCACTATGATCCACTAAGTGCAGACTCGGCCCTTCCGGAAGCCCGAGTAACAAGCAAGTTATCATTAATAAACTAGTGGTAATCAAAGATTTATAGAGCAGCGCGTTCACGCGCGGTTTTCGCATGTCTGGTTAACTTTGGTGGTGTTCGAATGGCTCGATAGAAAACTAAGTTTGATC